CCCTCGGGAGACGAGTCCCCCTCCCACAGCGCGCACTCAGGTTGGGAAGGGTCCTGCCTTTGCTCCGTGGTACCCCCGGCGGCCCTTGCTAAGGAGCACAGAGCAGCGCCGGGCAGGGTCCCTCCCCCACAGGGCCCTCCCGGTCCTGTACTTCCCTTCTCTGCTCGGTCCCCCATGCTGACAGTCTGGGCCCCACAGTTAGAGCTCTGGTGTCCACTTGCTGCTTGGTTACAGGTGTGCACTTTATGGAAAACCTTCCTAAAAGCTACCATTGGCACAACGCCTTCTTTTACATAATGTTTACCTCCGCCTTATTAACACTGTTACCAACACAATCCCGGGGTTCGAGTATTAGTTCAGTAGCGCCTGAGTGGGCACAGGGCTCTGAAATAGGAATCCAGGAGCTAAGGGCACAAGCGGGTCTTTATTCAACTCCTATTCGGGGACTAAGGATGTGAGCACCTTAATGAAGAGGTGCCTCCTATATGAATCCTTGCCCCCCAAAAGGGTCATCTGTGAAACTCTATACATAGAATTCTCCTTCCTAGTGCTCTTCAAAAGTTCCCGGACATATTCTGAACACAATTACATTCCTGACATCTGGAACAGCTACTAGCAAAAGAAGATATTGACATGTTATCTGAAATACCATCACGATGAAATGAATTAAAGTACAAATTTTCTTTTATTTTTAAAACTTGGTTTTATTGTTTAAATCAAGATTTGGGGTGTTGATTCCCTCAACTTCCCTCTGGACTTACCTAGAAATATCTCTCTGAGTTTTCTGTTTGGTTTTGGTTGCCACCTACAAAACTCAGATGCCATTTCTTTTTGGTTTTGGTTGCCACCTACAAAACTCAGATGCCAGCTATTTTCCAACTAGACTTCTGCAGAACGTTTCTGCCTTCTTTACATCCAGAAAGCACCATACAGAGCATGGCTAGTGTAATATTTCTAGAGAAGTTTTCTCTATTTTAATAGTCTTTCAATTAAATACCAAATAAATATCTTCTGAGCATCTTAGCCTATCAGTCTCAACTTGTTAGGGCTCCATGTTCTCTTTCTACAGCTGTCGTCTTCACCGGCCAAGATGCAGCAACACTAGCCAATCACGGTTGTCCCCAAGCACAACCAGGCCTTAGGCACCTCCTTGCTTTTGCTCACAATTTCTTCCACGGGAGGGAGCGTTTCTCCATCTACATGTTTCTATTCCTTTCAAATGCTAATTCGAATGCCATTTCGGTCGTGTTAAATCCTTCATCAATCCTACTGCGTTTTATGAGCATTACTTTATTATCATTATTTTTTAGAAATAACTTGTTATTAATGACTTTGAAAAGAGTTTTTATTTTATGAGACTTATTGGATGACTTTGGGTAGAGTTTTAAAATTTGTGTGCAGGTGTATCTTTGTGTGTGTTCTCTGCAAATAAAATATGTGTTTACCTCTAGCAGGGGCTAGGGTTGAAAGGAGATTTAGTTTTCATTAAATTTTTTCCACTCCTTGTGAGATTTACAACATTCTCTATTTCTTTTTCATTGAGTAAATACCAACTTACATGGTTTCTTGTTGTCTAATAATAATAAACACTTTTCTGATTACAAGGTAGTAAATAATTTTTGGAAGGTGACATGTACAGATTTAGGAATAACATTATTTCTCACCAGGCACTAATAAGTAAGGTTTTTAATCCATTGAATATTTTTACTGATTTCTGCCTAGTTTTTATATATTATTTAAAGCACATTTTACAAAATTGGTATCACATTAAATAAAATATACTTATTTTAATTAACTTTATAATTTTGAGCATTTTTTTGTTATTAAGCCCCTTATTCTTAGTATTAAGCACCTTATTTTAATTGTATCCTGTTAATGTAAAATACATTTTTCTTACCTCCTACTTTTAATATTTTGATTAATTGTGGTTTTGCTATTTTAAATAATGCCATAATGAACATACTTTTAGATAAACCTTTGATTATGTCTCACATTAACAAAGTGTATTTGTATTTCATGTAGTTATAATGAGGTTGGACATATTGCTATGCTCACAAGGCCTGTTTAGGCCATCTTTGTAGTGCCTGACACACCTAGTTGGGATAGATGCTGAATGAGGGCATCTTAACGGTCTCAGCATATCTTCCCCAACAGGTAAAGCTCCAGATGGCCCTGGAACTTGTGAGGAAAGAGATGGAGGAGGCCTTGACGCAGGAGGCCAACGTGGGGAAGAAGACTGTCATTTGGAAGGTATGAGACTATTGTGACTTCAGAAGCCTTGCATGTTTGAAGGATACAAATTTGGGTCATTAAATTATTCTTCCCTGCTCCAGCACTCTTGTTACAGCTGTGCCCTTCTTATCTGTAACCCCCACCTGAATCATAAACAGCTTTGCCGCTCTGGCTCTCACTGTATCTCACTGCTGCATCCCTGGAACCTCGAGCAGAGTCCGATTCTACCACTACGAGTTTGAAGATTGCATTTGCTGGATGAATGAATAATAAACGTTTCATAGCATTGATATAGATGAAACACAGCTAGAAGAGATCCATCATACAAAGAGCAGGATCATTTGGACATTCAGCCTCCTTTTTTAAATTTGAATTTTTTATTGTTGACACTATTGCAGATGTCCCCCACTCCTTCCTCCCCCGTTGCCCACCTCCACCCAGCCCGCCGTGTCCCCTTCCCTTGGCCTTCACCACACTAGTGTCTGTGTCCATGGCTATACATATATGGTATGTTCTTTAGCTAATCCGTTCACCTTCTTTATCCAGTTCACCCCAACCCCTCCCCTCTGACATTTGTCAGTTGAATGTATCCATGCTTCCGGTTCTATTTTGTTCGTCAGTTTATTTTGTTCATTAGATTTCACATATAAGTGAGATCATATGGTATTTGACTTTCTGTGATTAGATTATTTCACTTAGCATAATACTCGCCAGGTTGAGCCATGCTTCTTTTTTACAGCTTTTTTTATCCCCTCATCTGCTGATGGGAACTTGGGCTATTTCCAGATCTTGGCTATTGTAAATAATGCTGCCATGAACATAGGTGCATACATTCTTTCTGATGGGTGTTTCAGGATTCTTAGGATATTCCCAGAGGTGGGACCACTGGGTCAAATGGTAGTTCCATTTTAAATTTTTTGAGGAGACTCCATACTGTTTTCCATAGTGGCTTCACCAGTCCATACTCCCACCTACAGTGTCCTATGGTTCCCTTTTCTCCACATCCTCACCAGCACTTGTTGTTTGTTGATGTATTGATAGTTGACATTCTAAAAGGTATGAGGTGATACATTGAAGTTTTTATTTGCATCTCTCTGATGATTAGTGATGTTGAGCATTTTTTTTCATATGTCTATTTGCCATCTGTATGTCCTGTTTAGAGAAGTTTCTATTCAGATCCTTTGCTTATTTTTAAAATTGGATTGTTTGTCTTCCCGTGTTGATTTGTATAAGTTCTTTATATATTTTGGAGATTAATGCCTTATCAGATATATCATTGGAAAATATGTTCTCCCATAGAGTGGGTTCTCTTTTCATTTTGTTGATGGTTTCTTTTACTGTGGGGAAGCTTTTTAGTTTTTTTGTAGTCCCATTTGTTTATTTTTTCCTGAGTTTTCCTTGTTCTCAGAGACATATCAGCAAATATATTGCTGCGAGAGATGTCTGAGATATTACTGCCTATGTTTTCTACTAGGATCTTGTGGTTCATGACTTACATTGAAATCTTTTATCTATTTGGAGTTTATTCTGGTGTATGGTGTAAGTGGTCTAGTTTGTTTGTTTGTTTCTTTCTTTCTTCTTTCTTTTCCTCTTCTTTCCTTTTCTTTTCTTTTCTTTTCTTTTTTTCTTTCTTTTGTGTGGACCTGTCCAATTTTCCCAACACCATTTATTGAAGAGACTGTCATTAGTCCATTGTATGTCCTTGCCTCCTTTGTCAAATACTAAATGTGACCATTAAAGCATGGGTGTATTTCTGGGGTCTGTCCTGTTCCATTGATCTATATGCCTGTTCTTATGCCAGTACCAGGCTGTTTTGATTACAATGGCCTTGTAGCATAGTTTGCAATTTGGTATTGTGATACCTCCAACTTTCTTCTTCTTTCTCAAGATGACTTCAGCTATTCAGTGTCTTTCGGTTCCATATAAATTTTGGAATATTTTTTTTATCTTGAAATATGCCATTGATATTTTAATAGGAATTGAGTTGGACTTATATATTGCTTTGGGTAGTATGGACATTTTAATTATGTTAATTCTTCCAATCCATGGACATGGTATGTGCATCCACTTATTTGTATCTTGCTTAATTTCTTTCTTCAATGTTCTATAGTTTTCTGAGTACAGGTCTTTTATCTCCTTGGTGAAATTTCTGAGTATAGGTCTTTTATCTCCTGAGTACCCTATTTTTTTGTGGTTGTTACAATAGTAGATGGGCTTGTTTTCTTAGTTCCTCTTCCTGATAGTTCATTATTGGTGTGTGTCTTTTGTTCTGAGGTGAGTTTCTTGTAGAAAGCATGTAGTTGGGTCATGCTGTCTTATCCATTCAGCTATCCTGTGTCTTTTGGTTAGAACATTTAACCCATTTACATTTAAGGTTATTATTGATAGGTACTTATTTATTGCCATTTTTATTCTGTATGCCCATGTTCTTCTCACTCTCTCTATTTCTTCTTTTTACAATAGTCCCTTTAGCATTTCTTGCAATGCTGGTTTGGTGGTAATGTACTCCTTTAGACTTTTTTTTTTTTTTTTTTTGGTCTGGGAAGCTCTTTGTTTCACCTTCAATGGTGAATGATAGCCTTGCTGGATAGAGTACTCTTGGTTTTAGATTCTTGCTCTTCATTACTTTAAATACTTCATGCCATTCCCTTCTAGCTTGTAGTGTTTCAGTTGAGAAATCAGATATAGCCTTATGGGAGCTATCTAGTAGGTAACTGCCTCTCTCTCTCGTTGCCCATAAAATTCATTGTCTTTAAAGTTTGCTATTTTAATTATGGTGTGTCTTGCTGTGGGTCTCTTTGTGTTCATTTTTATTGGTCTCATTGTGCTTCCTGACCTTATGGGACTTTTTCCTCTTCCAGGTTAGGGAAATTTTCTATCAGTATTTTATCAAACAGGTTCTCTAGCCCTTGCTCACTTTCTTCTTTCCCTGGTACCCCTATGATGGGGATTTTGCTGCATTTTGTGTTGTCCCTTGGTTCCCTTAAACTGTCCTCTTGCTTTTTAAATATTTTTTTCTTTTTGCTGCTCTAATTGAGTGATTTTTTTTCTACCTTGATTTCTAATTCACTAATTTGATCCTCAGGTTCTTCTAACCTACTGTTAATTCCTTCCAGGCTATTCATTATTTTAGCTATGTCATTCTTCATTTCTGACTCTTTCCTATTCATAGTTTCTATGTCGTTTTTCATGCTGATGTTGTTCCCACTAAGTTCCTGTAGTTCTCATTAAGTTCCTTGTAGTTCTCAGTAAGTTGTTTGAACATCCTTATAACCATTACTTTGAACTCTATATCTGATAAATTGCTTGCCTCCATTTCATTTAGCCCTTTTTCTGGAGATTCCTCCTCTTCTTTCATTTGTGGCCAGTGACTTTGTTTCCCTACTTATTGTGTGTGTGTGTTTTTTGTATTGGATAAGACTGCTGTACCACCCTGTCTTGGTTGAATGGCCTTCTTGTCAGACACAGTGTAGTAGTTTCCTTGATCTTCTGATCTGGGTGCTCTTGGAATGTCCATGGGCCACACTGTTGCATTTGGGTCTTTAAAAAAATTTAAATCTTTATTGTTAAAAGTATTACATATGTCCCCTTTGTTCCCCAATAGATCCCTTCTAGCCTCCTGTCCCCCTGCCGCAGGCCTTCCACACACTATTGTCTGTATCCATGGGTTATGCCTATATGCATACAAGTTCTTGGGTTGATCTTTTCCCATCCACCCACCCTTCCCCACCTTCCCTCTGAGATTCGGCACTCTGTTCCATGCTTCCATGTCTCTGGATCTACTCCATTCATTAGTTCATTTTGTTAATTAGATTCCACATATAAATGAAATCATGTGATACTTGTCTTTCTCTGACTGGCTTATTTCACTTAGCATAATACTTTCCAAGTCCCTCCATGCTGTCTCAAAGGGTAAGAGATCCTTTTTTATTTTATTTTACTGCTGCATAGTATTCCATGGTATAAATGTACCACAGCTTTTTTATCCATTCATCTACTGATGGGTACTTAGGCTGTTTCCATATCTTAGCTATTGTAAATTGTGCTGCTATGAACATAGGGGTGCATACATTCTTTCTGATTGGTGTTTCAGATTTCTTAGGATATATTCCTAGAAATGGGATCACTGAGTAAATGGCAGTTCCATATTTAATTTTTTGAGGAAATTCCATACTGTTTTTCACAGTGCCTGAACCAGTCTGCATTCCCACCAGCAGGGTACTGGGGTTCCCTTTTTTCCATATCCTTGCCAGCACTTGTCATTTGTTGGTTTGTTGTTGGTAGACATTCTGACAGGTGTGAAGTGATACCTCATTGTCATTTTAATTTACATATCTCTGATGATCAGTAACTTTGAGCATTTTTTCATATGTCTCTTGGCCATCTTTATGTCTATTTGAGAAGTGTCTATTGCCACAACCTTTACAGCGGGGTTCAGGATCTGAAGGAGGGGCTGATGCACAAATGAAAATGCTTAAAGAAATATGAATTTAGAAGGCATGGGGGGCCAGGTGGAGACCTCTCTCTTGAAGAGGCACCCTGACTTCTGGCCAGTCCGCTTTTTATTTACTTGAATACACATTTACCCTTTAGCAATGCATACAGGCAGATCAAAGGTAAAGTTTGGTAAACAGCATAAGGAGTATCAGGTTAGGAAATTGCCTTGAGCCATTGAGCCCACAGCAGGGCAGTAGTATGCTGATTTTTCAGCCCTGCTGAATATCAAAGTCCATTGGCCTTCCAACGATCTTTTTGCATTAATATGCTAACTACTGTTTGCTTTAGCCTCAGCAGTCTATTTAGGTCCTTTGCCCATTTTTTAATTGGATTGTTTGTCTTCCTTTTGTTTTGTTGTATGACTTCCCCATATATTTTGGAGATTAACCCTTTATCAGATGTATCATTGCCAAATATGTTCTCCCATATAGTGGGCTCCCTTTTCATTTTGTTAATGATTTCTTTTGCTGTTCAGAAGCTTTTTATTTTGATGTAGTCCCATTTGTTTGTTTTCTCCTCAGTTCCTTTGCCCTAGCAGATGTATTCGTAAACATTGCTATGAGAGATGTTTGAGATTTTGCTGCCTATGGTTTCTTTTTTGGATTTTTATGGTTTCATGACTTACATTTAAGTCTTTTATTCATTTTGAGTTTATTTTTGTGTATGATGTAAGATGGTTGTCAAGTTTCATTTCTTTGCATGTACCTGTCTAATTTTCCCAACGCCATTTATTGAAAAGACTGTCTTGACTCCATTGTATGTTCTTGCCTTCTTTGTCAAATATTCTTGGGTCGGTTTCTGGGATCTCTGTTCTGTTCCATTGATCTATATGCCTGTTCTTGTGCCAGTACCAGGCTATTTTGAGTAGAGTAGCCTAATAGTATAACTTGATATCTGATAATTTTATATTTTTAATCCTGAACTAACTGCAGACTTACAAAATTAGAAACTCCATATAAAGATCTTGGTCCTGCATTTTAAAAAAATCTACACTGGTTATTCTAAAGTAGAGATGATGCTAAGATTCCTGTTATAAGCCACATAAATTTGCATGATCTTTATTATTGAGAATATACCCCTGTGAGCCAAATGCGACAAGCACAGGTTTGATAAGATGAACTGTAAATTCTACAAAACCCTTTTCCTTCCTATATATGTAGATATAATTGTAGTACTGAAAATGATAATATGAGGGAAAGATGCATTGCAGCCAAACCCCCTCTCACCACACCATCCCTCATGCTCCACTCCTCATAGCCTCCAGCATCTGGAGGAATTACCTGAGTTACACATCAGATTATCAAATTCAGAGTTGGTTCATTTAAATAGGTATTATATGAACCTAGTCATTTACAAAGAGGTAGATGGAAGTAGAGATGGGAAATTGGAGAGAGGAGTTGAGTTCTATGGCATTTGAGGAAAACTATTATTAATTTTTTAAAGGTGATATTTTATGCTCCTTAAGCAAACCAAGATGTGGTCATGTTTAAATCTGGGCCAGAGAATGTAAAATGTGGAGAGACTGTGGGAGAAAAATTTGCCTGTTGCACTCAGTTTAGATATAATACTGCTGTATCAAATATGTTTCTTATGTCTGTTAAAAAATCATGGCAGTGAGATTTGAGTAGAAATCAAAATCCCTGAGGTTAAGTCTGCAGTCAGTGCTTAGCTCTTTCTGGACTCTGGCCCCAGGGTTCCAGATGTGGAACTGAGAAGATACATCCAGGTTCTCTAATCTCGAAGCCTTTCCTTGTTCACATCTATAAACCCAGGTCTCTGATCTCTTTTAACGATCCTGCTGTTTCTGCGCATGGCTCCTTCTAGTGATCCCTAATAGTACATTTAAACTGGTATGTTAGTGAGTTTTCTCAATAATTTAATAGCCATTTAATTCTAATACCCTTACTCCTTTCCCCACATTTTGTATGCATTCCTGAAACTGGAATATAAAAGTGCATTGTCCCCAAGACCAAATCCATGCCTTTCTTAAACTCTCAGCTTGAAAGCTCTGTCAAGCCAGGTGTCAGCGTGTTTTAAAACTAGCCAGTGCGTGCCCAGAGTGAGGGAGCTGCGCTCACACAGGACGTGGCCTTTCTAGCCTCACTGCCTCAGGAAGGCAGCAGCAGGCGCTGGGCCCGCCCTGTTGATGGAAGTCACCTCTTCCTGCAGGAGAAAGTGGAAATGCAGAGGCAACGCTTCAGGCTGGAGTTCGAGAAGTACCGCGGCTTCCTGGCCCTGGAGGAGCAGCTGCAGCTGCGGCGGCTGGAGCAGGAGGAGCGCGCCACGCTGCAGAGACTGAGAGA